TGAATTTCTATAGGAATCCTCATAGTTTCCTCTTATTTTATATTGTAGATTTATTTTCTAGATTTTAATTTCCAACACTTTCACCATCTGGTGAGCAGATTTAGTAAAAACTGTCCTCAGACATGTAATGTCTTAAAATAGCAGGTGAAAGCTTGATCTTTTAGAAAGGGGTTGCCAATTCCAGTGCCTACTCTAATGACAGTAGCTAATGTAAAATGAAACATGATAGTTTTAGTTAGAAAACATCAGAACATGTGTTCCATTTTTAGTTCCACTGAGAAAATTTTGGGTTGGCTCCTATGCTGACACATAAATAGCTGGATTTTTATTTTTTTTATTGGGTAGAAGCATATTTTCCTGTCTAAAATTCAAGTAGACAAAAAGCTAATGAGAATATGCACATTATGAACGAGGTAGTACAAAATTTTATATTGAAAAGAAATTTTCTCCTGTAAATAACTCACCTTTCTGTATGCTACTCCTAAAAAATACCTGCTAAGAAAAAAATGTGTTGGTTAAAAAAGAGATTCCAGTGATTCAGTGTGTTTGAATGGTGAGTCTGTCTCCAGATAACTTGTGCTTGGAGATGAAAGCATCGTCCATGTGATGCCTGAGGAAATCTGTGGAGGGGAAATGTTTGTGGCTGAGCATCTTTGGCAGTGCCCTTTCCCTTCCCACCACTTTGGTGAGCCCTACACTGCCTGGGGGGTTTCCCTCTGTTCCCTTTAGCAGCTGTGGATGGCAGTGACTCATCCTCTTGTTCCTGTCTGTCACCTGAAGTAAGTAGTGTTCTTGAAAAAGATTCATCATTCCTTTCCTTCTGGTTCATAGAAATCAAAAACCAGTAAGCCAGAAAATCGCAGGTAACAGTACAGGAATTAGGTAGTGTTAAAATATTGCCATTAGGTCAAAAAGTTGGTCTTTGGCTGCTTCTGTATATATTGGAGTGTAGCTTTGGTCAGACCCAGCATGGTACAGAAATGCAGAACTCTTGTTAAGTAATAAAATCTCCAGTATAGATGTTGTAGTTGTTCAGAAAGAATGCCTAAGATTCTGTGTTCAGCCACATTATAAATGGGTGTAGATTTTCAAAGTCAGCTTGCAAAATGTGTTTGTTAACTATTGAAAATATTCTGGTCTTTCAAAAATACAGTTTTGTTGGAGTTTTGAGATGGTGGGAAATGTTTATGCCTACCAAGTCTGAAGGTCATGAAAAAGTAGATGTAAAAAAAAAATAAAAGGCCTTTTTTTTTTTTTCACCTGTAGAATAAGTGTTGATCAGTTTAGCAATTTGTGCTCTAGCTTCTACTACAGTGTAAGTGTTTCTCAAAATGCAGAATTGTCATTTACAAATGCAATGCTTTGGGTC